AAAATGTAATCCAAATACATTCTAGACAAACCTGTTCTATAAAACCTAGGTGCATCTGAGTCATCTTCTGCAAGTGGACGTGGAAGGCTTTGCACAAACTATATTTGTAATTAACTGAGTATTCTGCTTGTAAAAAGGCTGGCACATTAAATAATATGTGTAATTCTTCCAATATGTGTATAAAGTGTGCAGAAGTTCTGTGGATTACAGCCATTTGCTTCACTATAATTAGACCTAAAAAAACCTAAATAGGCAAAGTTTATGTGTCTAATGTAAATCCTAGACATTTTTAACTAGTAATAAAGAGTCTTCATCCCTGACATATTGTCACGTTATTCTGTTGCAGTTCCTAATCAACACATCCTAGGGGTGATTGCTCTCACATTGTTTGAAGAGTATGTATACTGGACTGATGGAAAAACCAAGTCAGTCAACCGTGCCCATAAAACTTCTGGAGCAGATAAAGCATCACTGATTAACTCATGGCATGCCATCACTGATCTCCAAGTATATCATTCATATAGACAACCTGATGGTAAATATATTTTATGTGTATTCAGTCAAGCACATCAGTATCTCACATTTTGTTAGTGTTCTGGCGGTTTTGCTTACCAAGAAGTGTAAGTAGTTTTATTTTGCATTGCTTAGGAAGTAAAACACAGGTAAGAGTAAAGATTTCCAAGCTTCTTTACAGATAAAATCTTGTCACTCTGCTGAGACTTAACTCCCTTGACCACCTTTGGATTCAGTATTCGACAGCTTCAGCTGGCTCCCTCATTCCAACGTTGACAGGATCCTGCATGCTGTTAAGCCAACCATATGCCTCTTGGACCTCTGTCCCACATGGCTGGTAAAAGCTGGTGGTGAGAGAATACTGGGCCTCCTGGTGGACATTATCAATCTGTCAATGGAATCAGGAGTCTATCCAGCAAGGTTGAAAGAGGCTTCGGTGGTACAACTCTTGAAAAAAAAAATCTCTGTATTCTACCGTTCCTTCCAATTACCACCCAGTTTTGAATCTGTCGTTTCTGGGAAAGGTAATTGAGAGAATGGTAGCTGAACAGCTCCAGAGTTTCCTGGATGACACACCGGCATTGGACCCATTCCAGTCCAACTTTTGCCCCAGCCACAGGACAGAGACAGTGCTGGTTGCCCTCTCAGACAATCTCTGCAGTCAGCTGGACCAAGGCAGGTCAGCACTGCTGTTGTTACTTGATTTCACAGCAGCATCTGACATGGTCGACCATGACCTTTTGACCCACTGCCTCTCAGACATGGGGATCCGTGGGGTAGCAATGAAGTGGCTTACCTCATTTCTCCTTGGTCAGGGACATAGGGTAGCAGTACAAGAAAGGGTGTCAACTAGGTGACCCTTAACATATGGGGTCCCTCAGGAGGCATTCCTCTCGCCAATGTTGTTCATTATCTATATGCGTCCCCTTGCCCCGCTGGTGAAGAGTTTCAGGCTGGGGTGTCATCAGAATGCTGGTGACACCCAGTTATATCTGTTAATGGGTGGCCACCCAGATACCACCCTGCAAAATCTGTTCAAGGGTCTAGAGGCCATAGTAGGATGCTTGGAAAAGTGTTAACTGAGATGGAATCCAGCTAAGATGGAGGTTCTGTGATGGGGGGGGAGGTCACGGCTGGGGCGTCAACTTCCCACACTTGACAGTGTGCCATTGATACTGTCAGGAGTTTGAGCATGGTCTTGGATACCTCCTTATCTATGGAGGCCCAGATCATGAATGTTGCCAAGCTGGCCTTTTTCCAACTGTGGCAGCTGGCCCCTTTCCTGTCTCGCCCTGACCTAGCCACAGTAATCCATGCAATGGTCACCTCCAGATTGGACTACTGTAACTCGCTTTATACTGGCCTACCCTTGAGACTGATCCAGAAACTCTAGCTGATCCAGAATGCAGCAGCAGGAGTCCTGATGGGAATGTCATGGACAACACATATTCAACCTGTGCTGTGTCAGTTGCACTGGCTTCCAGTGGAATACCAAATCAGGTTCGAGGTGTTGGTATTGACCTTTAAGGCCTTGATCAGTCAGGGACCCACATATCTTTGGCACTGTCTCCTCTGGTATGTTCCCTAAAGAGCGTTACACTCTGTAGAGCGCAATCTACTGGTGATCCCTAGCCCCAAAAATGTCCCTCTGTCCTCGACCAAGGCCAGGGCTTTTTCAGCCCTAGCTCCTGCCTGCTGGAACTCTCTGCCAAATAACGTCTGTGCCCTGCAGGACCTGATGTTGTTCTACAGGGCCTGCAAGGCAGACATTCTGCCAGGCCTTTGATGAAAGTGACGAGTACCATATTGGCTGGCACTCCCTCCTCCTCCTCCTCCCCCCTTTTCAACTATTCTCCCACCCAATCTCACCTATGAGGTGGAGACAAAGTCTGGAATCTGATGTATCAATGTCCCCTGTGATTTGTTTTTAATTACTGTACTAATGTCACTTGTGAATTGTTTTAATTAGTTTATTTAAATTCTGGTATGTTCCCTAAAGAGTGTTACACTCTGCAGAGAGCAATCTACTGATGATCCCTAGCCCAAAAAATGTCCCTCTGTCCTCAACCAAGGCCAGGGCTTTTTCAGCCCTAGCTCCTGCCTGCTGGAACTCTCTGCCAAATAACATCTGTGCCCTGCAGGACCTGATGTTGTTCCACAGGGCCTGCAAGGCAGAGTCATTCTGCCAGGCCTTTGTTTGAGGAAAGTGATGAGT